CACAATCATAATTGCATAATGCCATACTATCAGGAATGCAAATCCATAAGGGAACATTAAAAAATATTGTGTTGTAAGTTACAGTCACTGAAAAGAAAATGTAAGACATGAAAACATTTCCTTTAAAATCACATTTTCTAAGTTGTTTAACTGGTCCCTCCTCCAAGTGAAATCTGAATTATCTTTCACTTCACAGTCCAATAAATTACTAATATAAAATGGGAAAATCTGGGGGAATGATAGCTTGTTTAGAGCTTTGGAGCATACACAGTAGATGAAGAGTTACAAAAACACGACGAAAATTTTGCTGTGAGGAGTTAATAAAGCAAAAGGGAACAGCTGGAGACTATTAAAAGCACTCATTAGAGAGAAGAAGCAGCAAACTGTTCTAATTGGGTCAGCTGACAGGTGGCTGTGCTCCAGCAGCACCCTCCCGGCAAGCACAGAGATTGATGCTACTGTGTGATCCTCAGATGAGGGGTGCAGCTGCAAACTGCCCTGCAGCTCAGGATACCCTAAAGGACCTCAAATGACCATTTCAAGTCATCTTGACACTCAACAGTGCACAGGGAGCAAAATGAGTGGTGTATGTTTGGGAAGGGAAGGAAAACACTGAGGGTGCATAAAACATTGGTCTCTTACCTAAAGCTATGAATCCAGCAACTGATATCTGATACGCGCTGCATGGATATAGGCAAATCTTCATAACCTTTGCATACCTCCATTTCTCAACTCAAACAATTCTCACTTCACCAGACCCTCCAAAAGTTTATGGTTCAGTCAATTAACACGTAACTTCTGCAGAAAAATACTGTACAGTAATGCTCCCTCTCACAACCTGCAACTAGACAACTCTCCCACTCTCTTATTTATAATGAATAAATAACTCTCCCACCCTACTTATTCATAATGAATGTCAGAAAAATCCTATGTGCAGGTGACCACTTGTTAACTTACTGAGCTCTCTCTTTATATATATACATATATATATATATATACACACACATACATATATATAATTAGGAATCATGCTTCCAGTGATCCCAGAACTGACAGAGATTAAAGCACATAGAACCAGCTTTCCTGCAACTCAGTCAACAATGCACAGCTCATACTGCTTCCCGCCTTCAATCACCCTTAGCAGTTTTACATCAAAGTCACAGCACTCGTTAAAGAAAAATGGGAAAAGCTATACATATATTCTGTATTTGATGTTTCATACTGCAGTTGTAGTAAGGGCTAGATAATCACTAACAGACCTTCTGGGAAAGGCAACTTCAATACAAAGCTCTCAAATACTTATGGCTGTCATGCTTTATCAGGAATGTTCCTTACTTTCTGCACTTTCAGGCCTCAAGCTATATTATCTGATGCACAGTCTTGCTTAGCACAAGCAGTGATCCCAGCTGCACCGACAAGAGATTGCTTGCTTTATTTACAGTAGTTCAATCCAAAACACAGCTACTACAGTCAATTTGAATTCACTATAATGAATTTGTCTTCTCTTGCAGAAATGCAAGATACGGTAACTCTTGCATGAGAATGTTTGAGGCTCTACCTGAAGAACTTACCACCACCTCAAACCAGTACCCTTTCTGCAATACTCCACATTGACACTATTATTTGGGGAAGTTTGGAAGTGAACTATTAAAGCGACGGACAGTAATTCACTCCAGCACAAAAAGTGCCAGGTCAGGGCAAGGAGCTTGCTGATCTGAGTGGGAAGTGTCACACTGCAGCAGCTGCCTCCATCGAATCTGACTTGTGAATAAAGGACTTGTTTTCCATCTTGGCTTCGAATTAAATTTTGGTAAACACAGACATTTGCCGAAACATTTAAAACAATTTATTTGACTCTTGAATGAATGGTTGTTTTTTCTGGAGCAGAGTCAAAGCCTGAATCTCTATTCAGAGAAAATTTCAAATGATCGGTGAACAGTGGAAATTCCTGTCTCTGTTTCTGATTTTTGCAATGACTGCAATTCTGATTTTCACAGTTTGAAAAAAATAAATAAAAGATCACCCAAGGAACAGAAAGACATCAAGGTGTTTTTCCAACATCTTCTTTCCTGCCCTTTTTCCCCCTAAGGATCAGAGCTGAGAGGAAGGAATGCTTCTATTAATCACAACCTAATGGCACAGCGGGAGTTCACTGAGTGCATAACTTTACAAACTTGATTTTGAAATCTTCTTCTTCCCTGTAAGAGACCACTTTAAAGAGGTGCTGAGCTCCCATACTTTCCTGCTGAAATTTCTGAGACAAAATGCATACTCTCAGCTTTTCAAGAGAGAGAGGCAGTGTTCATGGCCACCGACCAAGATGCCAGAGTGGCCTCAGAAATATCTCCATTGTACAGAACACCTTCCAAAAGAAGCAAACCTTCCTTTTTCCAAACAAACAAACGAACAAAAGAAGCAAAATATCAGTGCTTGGACAAAAATGCAACTAGCTGAACTGAATATTCCAATTCCAAAGGTTGAGTTCCTTTCCTCAGACAAACCTGACTGGTAAAAACAGAGGAGGTACCAGGCCTAAGATATAAACATTCTCCAGTGCATTTCATATCTATAACTGCTGACAGAACAAGGCTTCTCAGGATCTTGAGCAAAGAGCTCAATGTTCTAGAGCAGTCAGTAGCTTTGTGTTTTCCAGCTTTTCATCTGAGGCATAATGAAAGAAGAGAAGCAAAAGCTTCTTGTATCCTTCCTGTGCTTTTAAGGTATCGGCTCACCTTCAGGCTCATCTCATAACAAATGACTTAGATTCATTTCTCTGATAAATCACAGAATCGTAGGGGTTGGAAGGGACCTCCAGAGATCATCAAGTCCAACCCCCCTGTGAAAGCAGGTTCCCTACACCAGGTCATGCAAGTAGTTGTCCAGGCCAAAAATACAGAAATTATTTAATATGCTAGCAATATTGTTAAGCATATGAAACACAGAGATCTCTTAACTGCAAGCTTATTGTTCAAACAGTCTTTGTAAAAAACAAAACAAAACCACGACACTTTGTGGTGAGTTTTCAGTAAAATAAAGTCAAATATTAGGGAAGAACCATTAAGGACAATGAGACTATCCGTGTGCTAAAGGGCTGCCCTGGCTCATGCACAGATGTACAACCAACTGCTTAGTTTTTTTTTACAGCCAGATCAGCCTATTTATTCTGCAGATTTCTGAAACTACCATGCCACAGAATCCATTACCTTAGTTTTAAAATACATGCCAGCAGATTTCTTTACACCTCTGAGAAAAAAAAAAATTTAAAACACAGTCACATAGCATGTTATTTTGTTGAACAGCAACAGTCTTAAAAATGCTTAATATTCAGAATGAGCAGCTTTTGTTGAAATGAATTTCACTGGCAGGTGGCCTACTCATTACTCTGACAGGAACAACCACCCTTTCTGAGTTGCGCGACTGACACTCAAACTTGGCCAAGGAGGGATGGAGGACAGATCACAGCAATGTTTCCAGGCTTCTAACAATCAACTGGAGATCTAACCAGAAAGAAAATACAGTTTTGATAAAGGTTGCCAATGGAGTCTCATAAGACAGACAGCCTTGTCAACAAAACAACTAATGCCCTCAACAGATGGCCATGTTTTATTTGCTTTAGACTGTAGCTTCTTACTGATTTATGTGTAGGTATATATATGTACATGCATGTAAAGAATTAAATATAACTTCCTAAAGAACACCCCAACGCAAGAAATGAAAGAGATGATTTCTGTCAATTTTTAAACCTACATAAACATAACAGAAATTAGATTTCATTTCTGCATTTCAGTTCTGCTTAATCTCTCATCCACTTGTACTGGAAAAGGGGCACATTGTGTCATTCCTCTGACATTATACGTAATTTATAGAATTAGCTGTTCCCAGGGCTTTGCATGACAAATACAAAATTGCACTGAAATACAAAAATAAACAAACAAACAAACACAGCCCTACTACGTGGAAATACAACCAATTGTCTTTGAATCCATCTGGCCTTAGCTTGGACTGAAACCATTGCTTGGAATGTGTTCTCTTCAGCTCATCCACAGCACATCTTGTACTTTACCGGCCCTTCAAAACATCTTAAAATAGCAGTTTATTCTTTCTTTGTTCTCCAGCAACCACAGTCCCTCGCTTGTTTTGTTACATCTGGCTTGCAACATGTCATGGGAGAACATGAAGCTGTCCTATCACTGAACATCCTGTAGCTCTCTGTGGGGCTGAGTGCAACCAACTGAACCTCTGTTAGAGAAAGTAAGGTTTACTTCCACCTTTTTGTCATCTTAGTTTGGTGGTGGAGAGCACGAAAGGAGACCAGGTATCAGGCATCAAACAAGCCAACCACCACCCTTGCGTCCATGTTTTTCACTCAGTATTTGTACAGCTACTGCCAAGAGATCCTGGTCTGTGACAAAGGCTTATGGGCATTATGACAGTTCAACTGTTGAAGAAAATAACAACCGTTGTTATGAAAAGCAGCTCATCCAGCTTTATTACCACCTTCTTAATTCAAAAAAAGAATACCAAACCAAACCTGGATCTGAGATCAGAGGCCTGGTGTGAAAAAACTGTATACGATCAGAAAAAAAATCAGAGGCTTAGACTCAGTGGATTGCTTAGTTTTCCAATTTTTCTCCAGCAAGGCTGCACAGTTACACAGCCATATTTCAACCTATAATCTTGCCTGAATATTCACAGTGATAACTTCTGGCAGAATTATTATGTCTAACTATTGTACCATCCAGATCCAACCTCATAGAAGGACTGAAATCCAACGGCATTCATGACTTGCTGCCAGCTTACAAAGATCGAACAGGACAACTACATTCAACAGAAGCAGTCTTCACATTAAGGCCAACAAAACTAAGGACCAGGCAAGACAAAAAATGTAACGCTGCAACACTGATGCCTCAGTCTCCCACTTTTCAGCCCTGCAGTTTGAACATAAGCATTATGTATCTACACTGGGAAATCAGTAATAAGATCCTTTTGTTTAAACATACCAGATATCTTTCCTCCTGCCTCATGCTGGGGGTACGGATCATATGATTCTGTTCTCCTCTCCAGTCTCCGAAACGTCGGAAAAAATAATTGGATAGAAATCGATTGACAGGATCTCTAATAATATTGATGTACACTGGCTGGTCTCCTCCAAACCTGGTGGGAAGAAAAAAATGGGTGAATGTCATCAGAAGATTTCAGACTGGCGCACCTGAAGGTTCTCAAACTGTGTGCTATAGAGTTCAGAGCACTTACAAGGCTAGAAGCAAAACTGAGCAGAACGCTTACAACTGCGCACAAAACTCTGTAAAAGCACACAAGATCTCTCAAGGATTAAATGTAACTACAATATCCTATTAAGCTGTAGTGGACTATACACATTTTAGTTACACTAAAGGTAACCTATTTCCATTCTATCTATGGTCATGCTTCTGTTTTCTCCTTACAGTTTTCAGATGAAGAGCTTCCTGCAGATTAAACTAAGGACAAACGTTTCTTTTTCTAAACGCTTCCTGCCTTGAAAATCGTGTCAGAGCTGGCAGTGTCTGATGCTGGCTGCCACGAGGCAGCCCTGAGCCACCTTCACATGTACAGTAAGAGTAAGAACACACGAAAGATTTTGTAACACTCAAGCATATTTCAAAAGGCTCCCCTGGATGAGCTGAAAGATATGCATGGTATTTACATCTTTTTATTTGCTGTATCTTGTGCAGATCTTCCTCCCCTCACCTCCAAGCCTGCTCCATATCTGGATTTGAGGTTATTTAGTGGTTAACGTAGTGCTTTGCCCTCATACTGCATTTACTGGAAATTTAAAAATATTAATATGAAAATTCCTGCATCAAAAAACAAATTAAGTATCAATTTCAAGTACACACAAGTGCAAGGAAAAATAAAGGGTAAAAACATCTGGTGTCCAGGGGCTGTATAAAAGACAGCAAAGGAATCTGCAGTTGAGAGTACCTGCCTCTGCCTAGTAGTTAGGACAAGCATGTTCCATTTAATATGCAGGATATACCAGGAGAAAGAGATGAAAAGGGAGCTTGAGCAGTTAAGGCCTGTGATTATACTGCATTTTCAGAACATTAAAATATTGACTGCTTATTTAACATCAATACCCATCACCAACAAATGATGCTAATATCCAAGTCACCACGATTACGCTCTTCCTTGGTCAAAACAGAAGCATGGACATTTACGTTCTGGAACAGACTTATGGATTATAATGATGTAAGACCAAGCAAATTAAACTTATTTGGATTGAGATTTTCCTAGGAGAAATCCAATTTGGAATTTACCTGATCTAATTATGATTAGGTTTGCCCCGTGTCCCCATTGCAGGGAACAATCCTCTGTTAAGCCTATTATGTATTTTGAAAGCTTGAGGACACAGCCATATTTAAGTATTTTAATGCTGCTCAAATGATTTTCTAAGCCACAGTTTATGTTTCTTTTAAAATGTAAACTGTTAGGATACCATTTAGGATACCATTTAGATTTTAAAAGTTCTCAGTTTTTCTTCGTCTCACATCAGATGAACAGCTGAATACGTACAATAAAAGACCAGAGTTTTTATAAATATTAAAGACCCAGCAAAATTGTTTAAAAATGTTAATGTAAGTGACAATAGAAAAAATATTACATGAAACAAAAATATTAAGTAGGAGACAAGAGAAATCCCATCCAGTTTCAACTTCATTTTTATTCCACATGATTCCTTTGGATAGCAAGGTCATTATTTATGCATATCTTTTCTAAGCCTATCAATAATTACGCAAATAATTTCTTCATTTATGCACATCAGTAATCTCATTGACCGTAACGCAGCCACAATTTGAAAACACACAGACAGCAAAAGCCTTTCAAACAATCCAATTAAAAAGGCAGATGCTCCTTGCTTCCTGATTAGTACATGGGCCCATTAGGACATAAGTGTGCAAGGGAAGTTTTCTGAATTCTTCTCTAAGATATTTTTTGTTGCTCTTTTCACCTTCATACAGAAATAAGACTTAAATGAAAAACAGATGCTCCTGCAATTACTACAGAAAATTAAAGGCATTAAGATTTGCCAGTACACATCTAAATAGAAAAAGGTTGGTGAGTGCCATGGTTGGTAGCCATGAAAATGATCATTCCAAGTGAAATTGCTGGCAAGATTAGGTGCACCTGAAGTACTGAACACATATTTTTTCCTGCTGTCTGATTAACAGTAATCTAAAGACAGAAGTGAGAGGAGAGTAGTAAAGAAAAAGGGAAGTGATGAAGACATCAACAAGAGATGACCACGGCAGCAAGCTGTCTCAAGACAGAGACAAAAATTACAGGAGCCAGAGGGCAGGGATATCCAGCCTGGGATTTGTAGATGCTAAGCCTAAGAAAGAAAAAGCAAGAATAGATGGTTACCAGTGTCTAGATACAAATGCTCACTGCCTTTTCTGAAGAAAAAAGAGGGACCAAATTGCATAACCAAGCAGCCCAAGTAATAGAGCCTGTTCTTTTCCTGGTAAAGTCGTGTCCCTGAACATCTGAACTTCAGATGCAGTACCAACAGCTCTGAGAAGAGACATATGCAAACTCGTCTGTCCCCAGAGGATGGCTGGGATGGGAAGTCACTCACTGAGAACTCAGAGGAGCTTATTTCTAAAATAGAAACTGCAGTCTCCCAGAAAAACAGGCAGCTCAAATTTCTGATCTCTTGCACACTTTAACCAGGCCGGTACAGACCCAGCTGCAATTGCTACATCAGGCAGCAAGAAGAAAAATTTTCAGAAAACTCAAGTCTGTTCCTGTTCATATTCAAATGTGCGTGTTTTAAGCATAGTTTATTAAACTTCAAATTCCAATCACTTGTTTCTATAGACTGTACTGAGACTATTGGTTGGAAACACAGCAGCAGCTGAAGGACATAAAAAACCCCAATGATTAAAAATCAATAACCTCAGGCTACTTAGAGGGAAAAAAAAAGGAAAATCAATGCTCCATTTGGCCGAGTATGTTCTGTGCATTTTTAGTTATCTATCAGCCACATCATATTAAATATTACTTAGCTCTCCAAAACACAACTTTTCAAATTAATAACATCCATAAAAATGTTGCAGCAAGCAGTAACATAAAATGCTCTCATTACATATCATATAAGTTTATGTATACTCAAGTAATTGTTGCAAAAGATCAGAAAGGAAGCCAATTACGTTCTTCCAAAGAAGGTTTATCTTCTCTGGGAAGCATTTGGATCTTGCATGATAAACATACTAGATGGATCCCTCTCACGCCCAGCAGTGCATCGCTTTAATTGAGTTGAGTGGGACAGGACACCACTTCTCCAATGGAGAGCTCAAAGGGTCCGCAGAGCTCTTCCTGCACTTAACTTCTCCTGATTTATTTAACAGATGCTATTACATCATGTTTGTTTTAACTGCTCTGTTGTGACAGGTATATTTTCAAAGTCCTCATCAAAATAAATAGCCTACAGACAATAGCCTACTGACAGACTTCAATCAACAACACTAAGATTTACTAATATTTCCCCATTTCTCTCAGTTGTTTTTTGTTTTTTTTTTAATAAAATGAAGGGAAAAAGAAGGCTGAGAAATATGCCAGATGTTGTGAGTCTGCCCTAGAAAAATGTCTCTGATAAATTATGATTTTATTGTTTATATGAGCATAACCTTTGCTCAAAACAGCTTACAAACCCCTTCTAAGCTAATAATAATAATAATAAAAAAACAGTTACGGAATTCAAAAAACTCAACCAAGGCAATTTGATTTACTGCCAAATGAAGGATTTCTGAGCTCCTGTTATTCATCATTTCAGTTCTTTTTAAGAAAGGTTAAGTACGATTTCAGACCTACTGCTTCACATTAGAAGGCTGCTGCACTTCTGCTCAGCACAAAACTCTGCACAAACACAAGTGTGCTTTTTATTCCCTACACATAGAGGAAATCAAGATACTCAACCTTTTATCTGTAAGAACTATGATTCCCTATCATTCTTGTCATGTAAGTTATATCCTTTTAAATTAGTTAGTTGCTACAAGTTCAGTATAATGGAAGCAAACAGGAAATAGCAGTGACTTAATGTTCATATGGATTGGCACATAGCGTCCTTAGAAAGGAAGCATAATTTCCTTTTGCAGCTCTATACAACCACGGTGAAAGCCCAATTACCTAGGAAGCTTTACAGATGAATTATGTTAGAGCTCCATTACCTGATCTGCAACACAGTTTCAAGGGGAGATCATATTAAAAACAATAATGTAAAACTTTCAGCTTTTTGGAACGTAAGATGCAGTAAGATCAAATTCTGTCTTCTGAAAATGTGTTTTATTTGCAGAATTAGAAATGAAAATTTCTAATTTGTAAAAACTCAAGAAACACATCTGGCAAAGCAACACCATTCTGTACATGAGACAATGGGCAGCTCAGTGTTGCTCCACCAACCCTCTCCAACAACGGGATAACACCTTTTCTGCAACATTTCCCAGAGGAGAGGGCTGAAGTCTTGTCTGCATGGTGCTGCACGGTTCTGCCAACCTTCAAACTCAGGGAGTTTATAGTCCTAAATCTGTGTCTTTAACCTGTGCTGTAGTTACGCTTTCAAGCTTTCTGTTAGAATTTTGGAAGGAAAAAAAAAAAGTGAGCTGAGATACATTTTTTAGTTTTAAGACTGCATTTGAGGGCTGGGCTGCCCTCAAAAGGAAGGTATGATACAAGCTGCACAGTGATTCAAGGTTAACAATAAAATGGTGCAAAGTGACAATATTGCATTCATTAATTACATCTTCTAGAACTATGGCATCAATAGTAGGAATTTTGAGCTTCTGAATTGCCTTGTATAGGTATTATCATTGTAAAAAAATACCAAAAGAATAGCTTAGTAAGCTGCCTTAGACTAGTGAACAGCTAGCAGCTTAGACCATCAGGCCTTGTGTTTCACTATCCTATAAATCTCCCAGAATATTTGACGTTGCATTTCTGCCAGCCTTTACCTTCCTGCATAGTAAACATAGAGTGAGTTATTTTCCCCCTATGCCTTTCATCATGCTAAGGATATGAAAAAAGTTTGAAATACAAATTCATAATGAGCAGCACCAATACAGATGCAAGCCTTGCCTGTGTCTGTAAAGCATCCCCAACTCAAGCAAAGGTAACACTTA